AGTAAAGATATCAAATCACTACATCACATTGGAGATATTGTGACCTACTCATCTACTGCACTACGGCAGTGTAGAGTGAAGAAGATTGATCGTATTACACCTGCTGGCAAAGCAGTTTCATTTTCACTATCAATGGAGGCACCAAATTCATCTGTTTTGTGTGTTCCCCTCTCTTCTCTGAAGTGTAGTCTAGTACCAAATGGTAAAGGTGATGAACCCATTGACACTACAGTCACTACCACCAGCACTGATCCTGGAGTGTATAGGATACAGTGTAACCCTTCAACCAGTGGTACTCATACAGTAAAAGTACAAGTATATGATGTACACCTTGAGGATACCTCACTAGTCATCCCTATCAATCCTTACCTTGATAACATCACTCCAGTACGTACTATAACTGACCTTTATTATTCATGGGGAGTTGCTGTAACTGATGATAATCATGTTATAATAACTGAGTATGAAAGCCACTGTGTAACAATACTGGATAGAGAAGGAAAGAAAGTAAAATCATTAGGAGGGAATGGAGGAAGTGGTAATGTCAAGTTTTCTTCTTCTTGTGGTGTAGCCATTACTCCAGACAAATTCATTCTTGTATCTGATAATCACAGGATCCAGAAGATAAGCATGGATGGATACCGTATAGCATCAGTTGGTGAGGAGGGCAGTGGACCACTGCAATTCAAGTATCCTTCTGGTATAGCCATTTCTCCTATAACAGGACAGGTTTATATTGCTGATAGTGGTAATCATTGTATACAAGTCTTGAATCCTGATCTAACCTTCTCTCATTCATTTGGTAGTGAAGGATCAGCTAATGGACAGTTTAAATCTCCACGTGACATTGCTATTGACAGTCAAGGATTAATGTATATTGTTGATAAGTATAATGATCGCATTCAGAAATTCTCTCCAGATGGAAAGTTTGTGGGTCAGTTTGGTACTGAAGGATCTGGTCCTGGACAGCTTAATATTCCAGTAGGTATAACAATAGACACTGCAGCTACTGGTCTAGTGTATGTTAGTGAATGGGGCAATCATCGTATATCAGTCTTTACTAGTGATGGTGTGTTTGTTAGGAAGTTTGGAAGTAAAGGCAGTAATATTGATCAGTTTAATAATCCTTGTGGATTAGCATTTGATAAAAATGGATTTTTGTATGTTTGCGATTATAGTAACGACCGACTTGTTCTTTATTAGATTATTACATTAAGTTTATTATTATTAAACTTATTATATTTATAGTTTTTCTAGATTTTCTTTTATTCATATCCCAAAAAATATTAAAACAATTTTCAGAAAAATTCATGGAAGGTATTGAAAATATCCCAAAAATGTCAATAAAAGAAACTATCATGCTAGTTAGGCATGGCCTATGCCTCACCAATATCATGTAAAAATTTTTGGTCATAACTCAATTAGTGTAAAAATATTCCTATAATTGATTTCACCACCTTGCATGTATAGCTGGGCACTTATTAAGACTTATAGAGGTTCTCTCTATCTTCTAATGCTTCTAGAGAAGTCTTTAGACAGTATCTCTATGTTCTCTTGCTGCTAGAAAGCTCATAACTTTGTCCCGTGTGTTGCATAACATCGGAATCAGCTCAAACTCACTACATAGCATAAAGACATCAGAAAATAGAATATAAATTAGGGGTGATTTTGGAGCCATTTTTTGGAAAAAAAACATGTGCTATACTACATAGTGGGTATATTTTGTCTGGGAAATGTTCGTTCTTGTTCATTTTATATTTTCATTCTGAGCAGCCATTTTGTTTATATGGCATTAAGGGAAATGGTCTTAAATGGAACCTGCTCAAATGTCAATACATTTTAGTAATTGTATTTTAAATACATTATATCATTCTTTATTCTCTTTCTCTCTCAGTTGATATCTTCATTACTAAACTCTCTCTCTCCCTCCAATTCCTTCATTTGTTTAATTTCAAAAACACTCACAGATGAGTGTCACAACACTGCCCCTTGGTTCAACACTAAATACAATGAAGAAGGTACACAATGTATACAAGTAAATGTATCTTTTAAATTAATGTCTTCCTTTTTTTAGTTGTCAGTTTAGAATGGGAAAAGAGTTGGAAAAGTATGTACATGTACATGTATTTTAATAATTATTATTAACATTTATTATTATTATTATTATTATTTAGATTTGTCTCTTAATCCTGAGCTCCATTTGCCGCACCCAAACAAGTTTATCGGTAACAAAAACCGTTCAAAATAATAAATATTAATTTTTCTATCGTTCATGTTAGCTTCCGAGTTTGAGCTGTTAGCTGAAGATGTACCACAGACAAAAGTAAGTTTAGTTTTCATAATCCTCCTCCACCTTTCTTTCCCTCTCTCTCCTTCTCTCTGTCTGTCTGTTTCTCTTTCTCTCTTAAATTTTGTAGTATCCAGTAATTATCAAGGAAACTCCTCATTATAAAATCTGGTACAAGAAGGATGATGTTTTTGATCTCCCTAAAGGTCCGTTAGTCCATCATTCACAGCTCCTGTATTTATTTATTAATATACATTTATTTCTTGTACATTGTACTGATTGTAGCGTCAATTTGTGTCTCGTTTGTTACTCCAAATGAATTCCAGTTGGCACCAGAAACGTGAGTATATAGACAGTATAAAAATTATATTATTATCATGACTACATGTACATGTATTATTATTATTTTTTTAAATTATAAACGTAGTGTAGTAGACACAGTAGTAGGAACAATAGTAGGATAAAAATAGATTATTATTA